GCTGGGGGGGGGGGGGGGGAAATCACACACACATACTCTGTGTGAGGAGTAATTAATCTCTGTGCTCTGCACAGCTCAGGAGGATCTACAAAGGTACTACCCATAGGTATCAAGATCTTTTCACACCCTAGAAGAAGGGAGCCAGCACTTTAAAGGAAAAGACCTCAGTTTAGCCCAAACTATACAGAATTCTCCTTTATTGTCTCTGCACTGCCATCACACTTAGGATTGCTATCTCAACATTTACTTTGCAGATGGTTTGAAAAAAGGATGTTCATTTTCATTATGTGTTCAAATTACAGCTGTTGTGTTGTCGTGGTCCCCCTTGCTCTCCCTCCTTCACACAGAGGTACACACTCCTATATTGCAGAACCTGCAACAGCACATTTGCCCACAAGAGGTGTAGCGGCAAAGCACACCAGCCATCAAGCAGCACACTGTGGTCTTCCAAAAACCTACATACTTTCCTCTTTGTACTCACAGAAGCAAATTATTGCCTGATATCGAATCACATGGATGAAAGAAAACTTCTGTGTGTACCAGTCCCTTTTCTGGGGAGGTACAACAAACAGCACTAATGTAACTGGACAGCACTACTCTGCAATCATAACGTGTTCTGGCAGTTCAGTTAAATGTAAAACCAGATTGATTTAGCAGAGCAGAAGAATTTCTTTAAGGAATCTGAGATGCATTCATGCCGTGTCTTACTGTTTTGGTTTTTTTCAGTACCTTTGCCTGTAATCCCTTCCAGGAACTGCTTTTAATGTTGTATGCAATAAGTACTTGAGCAATATGTATTGTTCCAAGTTCATGGTATGTGGTATTTGGAACATTTTAGGGCTTGGTTCCATAGCATGCTATGGTGTGAATTTACAGAGCACTGGCTCTTTGAAAGTGGAGTTAACTGTGCACAGTCAGCTTTAGCATGTCCTAAGAGCGACAGGGCAGAAAGCTACTAAAATAGTTGTATAGCCTTGCCTAGGCAAACACACCAGTTGCTATCAGAATGTGTGTCTTGTTTTCTTCCAGTCTTGAATATAAGTCTTTGTGTGCAACTTTTTTTCCCAATACTTTGAAACACTCAAATTTAAAAAAATAAAAGTAATTAAAAAAAAAAAAAAGTCAGAAACCTGAAAAGACCTTGTGGAAAAAAAGGAGGAATATGAGCTTTTTGAAGGAAGCATTTTAGAATCAGCCATTGTGCTGACAGCACCTCAAATAGAGGCTGACTTTTTCAGTTTTAAAAGTTATGAGTCACTTTAGTGTTCGTGACAATGACGGCCTTAAAAATGCAAATAATTCAAGACTTGCACAGAGCAGGAACAATTGTGGTACAAGGTGCAACTAGATAATATGAACAGCAGGCAGATGGGGAGCACATCCAGCTACTAGAGAAATTACTGATTATCTGTTGGCTGTAAGATCTTAATTTTTGCATATGAAACTAATGAAGCAGAGGTGAGAACCTGGCACCCAGTCTGTGTAGTCTGTGGATGAGCTCTGCGGTAACAGAAGTTAGGCATGTAGGAAGGGATATGCTCACTGTCCTCATATTGCATTTCTTTAGCCAAAAGTGAAGTAGACCAAATGCAAAATTGGAGTTTTTGCTCTTATTGTCACCTAGAAAAAACAACCTACACTGTTTTAGAATGGGTGTGCCTCAACAATCACATTGAAATTCTCCTCATTCTACATTCCCAGCCTAGTCCCCTGATTTGCCATACATATTGGCTCCTTTCTACCTCATGCCAGAGATAGAATGTGGCAGATGTCTGTAACATCTTTAAAGTCATGAAGAAAGTCAGCAAGGGTCAGTTGTTTAGTGTCTTCTTCAATATAAGCACGGAGGAGCAAGAGGTCCAGTGAGTGGATGGGATGGTCAAAGCAAAAACAAGAGATCTTTTCTCATACCTCATTGAAGAAGGAGATGGAATGCTGTGCTGCAAAGTGTCATGGATGCTGAAGTCCAACATACTAGTCCAATATACTAATCTACTACCAGGCTGTCTCACAGAGAGTATGCATAGCATGCACGCATAGCCTCAAAGCTGGGCTCTGAAGTCAGAGACTTTCTGTGACTAATGGCCAAAGGCATTAGTGGCATGTGGGGATTATCAGCGGATGTGCAGGAGGAAGAAGGTTGGGAATGGTGCGCGTGCTAGCAAGGTCTGTAGCAGTGAGGTGCAAAAGGGGGTATGGCAGCTTTCACGCCCCAGTGCGTTGAAGTGTAGTGTGAATGCAGTTACACATGCCACAGGGCCCTAAAGCCTCTGCTGTGCGGCTGCCTGAGGCATGCCAATAGGGGTAAATAAACAGGGCTAATAATCCTAAATAAACATGGCTAAGAGCGCACACTTGGACATTGCTACCAAAGGTGCAAGTGTACACCATTTCATTAATCATCACTGCAGCTTCTCACTATATAGAAATTCCTTAATCGTTACTAAATATTCACTGAACAATTGTCTAAACTAATTAACATGCAGGATTTGTTTATGAGGTTTATGGGTCTCACTGGTGACAGAAGCTAAGAAAATAATTATGAGAGAGTTAAATCTCTAAGAATCTATCTTGGTTCTGCCTGTTTATTTGTGTTTAACACTGACTAAAACAATGGTGAGAAGAGAATTATTTACATTTTCTGAAATCGTCTGCATAAGATATTTTGTAAACGTACTTTTTGGAGATTTCAAAAACCATTTGGGAATGATAACTCAAATCTTAATGGAAAATTTACATATGTAAAAAGTAATTTCTCAGAAGATTATAAATATATTATCAATTCAGGAGCTAATTTTAACATAAAGCATCTGTAAGAGGTTCAAGAAACACATAGGAAAAGAAATAACTTACTCTTTGGGTATCTTGTATGTAATTTGGAAACACTACCCCTACATCCACGCAGAAGTAGCCATAGCAGTATTTAAAGTTTGTAATGGTGAGCCTTTGTTTTTCCCGCTGAATTTACATTTCTTTGTTCTTCATGATTCCATCATGATTTTGTCTCAGAGATGCTGCAAAGATAATGTCCACTAATAATACAATTGCTAAGATCCAAATAATTGTTTTTTCCCCCAGAAAAGGTCACAGCGTCATCAACATAAATCTGAAACAGAAAACATTTAAAACATGTAATTCAATTATTACTAAAATTCTATTATCAGAGTTTTAATGCATTGAATGTGTTACTTCAAAACCTAAGTTGTTCTCAGCACAGAGATAGAAGACTATGGCCTTTTTCTCTCAGATGGGAACAATCTGGAGCTCAGCAAAAGAAATTTTGTTCTGCTTCAGTATTTCAGAACAAAATTGCTAGGTTGTAAGATGGAAGGTAGATGGTCACCACAAGAAAGCAAAATCAGTGATGGAATATGAAAAAAGACGGTTGTACATAGTAGGTGTCAATGGTGTTACGGCAACATGGTATTTGACTATCAATTCTGTCTAGCAGTGCGTATTTTTTGCATTCTGGCACTCACAAACAGCTGTGTCACTGTTTTCTTTATGCATTTTGTTTCTTCTTGATTGATAAGAAAGGTCTCCTTACAAGTTAAGTGGAAATAAAAGTGCAGTTTCCTGGTTCGGGCAGCAGGACCACATTCCAGTGCAGGAGATGTAGTCGCATCATCACAGCCCAGCTCTGAACAGGTGGTGTGGGCTCACTGTAATTCCTGTAAAGCAGTGCATTAGAAGACAGCTTCTACAGAGGCATTTAGGGGGTTCAAAATCAACCGGTGTAATTCAACTAATTCAAGTAAGATTTTACTCTTCTAAAATCTCTATGTCAATATAATCATACAGGTTAGTAAATCATATCTTGAAGGCAAAAAAACTACATAACAGTGTATAGAATAAACTGGTTAGTAAAAAAAAAGGCAAGATTTTTAACAAAATGTCTGAAACAGCATTTCAAAGGTTCATATACAAAAGACTCATCAAAAGTTTCCTGCACTGTCTCTGCGACTACCATTTTAAAAGATTACATGATGCATAAAATATAACTCCCAATTTATCCTGTCTAGATATGTGCCCAAAATATAAATGTGTTGTATAAAAGATATTTCAATTTATATTGAAACTGCTTTAAAAGTAAATGGTGTTTAGTTCTGGAACTGTGGTTCATGTCCATTTCTGGTCATAATACTTATTTTAATTTTAAATTATAAAACTTAGCTACGTTTAAGAACATAGACTCTGGATTATACATGGTAGTCTGGAGTATTTTTCCTGCACAGTCTTCTTTTTTTTAAAATATTCTTCGTGCTTCAGCAATATCTGTAAAATTAAAAGACCCAACAAACCAGTTAAAAAATATTTTCTATTTTTTGGGGGTTTTTTTTGTTTCCCCAGATGTATTAGATGCACTGGATGTAGGTTTTGGTTTCACAGGGAGATAGGGAAAAAATAATTAGTTAATTTATTTTTTTGCTCTAACTTTCCCCTATCTGATTCCTGTGAAGCACTGAGCACTGTCTGCCATTAGGTGACGGGTTACATTCACCACTGACAGAGGCGTTCAGGATTGTTTGGAATCCTGTGCTCAAGGATCAGTAAAGCAAGCTGCTGACGGCGAGAGATTGTCCAAATATATAAAGTGAAGCTTCACAAGAAAGAGAACAAAAATCTACTGTGTCACACAGGGTCCGTGCTCCACTCT